TTTTATCTATCCACTTACCTGCCTTGTGCCCTTTCTCACTCCCTCCAGGTCTCTGATCAAATGATCTCACTACTCCACCTTCCTAATTCATCACTTTACATCCCCTTCCACTTGCTCCATTTTTCTTCACAGCACTTTTATGATCACACTACAATGAGCTATTTATTTGTTTGTATTTGCCTCTTTCCATCAGAGTGAGGGCATGGCTCTGTTTCGTTTACTGCTTGATGCCGAGAGCAGTGCCTGACTCGTAGTAACACCCAATAAATACTTTAAATTCATTGAACAAACAACACCTAACACAATTTTGCAGGTTACAAGTACATTCATATTTATTGCTTTATTTAATCTGTTCCAAAACCTTATTTGTTATCCTTATTTTATTAGTGAGAAACCCAGGGATCTATCTACACTCTGCAATTTCAGATTCCTATTTTAGAGTTTAACTCCTAAAATATATTTGTGCCTTATTCTTAGGTTCTTAAGTTATACTGCCTCTTGTGCTTTTTGATTCTGAGTATATTTCAGAAATTCTCCACACTGGCTCTCCGGTAGAAGCATTTTGGAAAATTACTTTCATGAGGCTTAATGACCAATTAAATAAAAATACAAGAGTAAGATGATATATTCTATCACAACAAACACCTACCTGGGTGATTTTTTTTAAATCAATTTTCCTGCTTTTTCTGGACATTTGAGTTAATTTGGTGGTAATGGTATGTTCAGAATATACACTTAAATTACCTTCACTTGTGAGGTCAGATTTTCTCCTTAGTACTTTTAATAGAGGTTATTCCTGTGCCTCTGTGCAGCCAAGATTGAGAACGATTGGGTCTCTGAATGCACAGATCCATTTTTCTGGAGCACCCTTTTTACTCAAATATTTAGGAGAAAAATATTATTTTTAGTAAAATTAATTCAGTTACATCATGGATTTCCATTCAAAATATCCATGAATTTAAAAAGAGTAATTCCTAAGACTTCAAAGAAGTGTCTTGCTTGTAGTGGCCTCAGTCATGGTACTGATTCGTCTTGGCCAAAGAAAAGTAACCATAGATTAGAGGAAGGTTTAGAAAACAGAACAAAAATTAACATTATTCAATTTGAACAACAGTAAAAAATATGCAAAAAAACTAACATTATTCAGTGTAATGAGGCAAGGACAAGAGTTGTAGTTCTTAATGCAAAAAAGAAAAGTGAGAAATGAACTAATGAAAAGTGGGGGCCCTATGTAAGTATTCGACAGACACGTGCCCAGACCGCTCGAGACGCCGGAGCTGGGAGATGGACTGAAGGAGCCCACGGACTGCTGAGGGGAACAATCAGATGCGATTCCAGCGCAGAGTGGTCAGGCCGGAAGAGAAGCACACACAACTGCAACCGCAGTGCAGAGCATCAACCTAATAATTATGCAAAGTAAGAGTGCAGGCTGAAAATGGGCAGAGGCGATTCTATGTACTTGTAGAGTACTTTCGTATGAATTATTCGTTTGGTCTCCCTCAAACACTTTGAGATCGAACGATCATGTCCGATGCATGAGGACAAACAAGAGACTCGATCCTTGCTGGGTCCTGCCAGCTGCTGGGCCGCTGCCGGTCTTCTGTTTCTTGTTCGTGCCCTTTACTTGTGATGTCACTGGTGCTAATTAGAAAATGGGAGAAACTTAGTGCTGTTTACTTTCCTTTGTTTAAAAAAAAAGACAAAAATATTAGCCCTGGCTGGTGTAGCTCAGTGGATTGAGCACGGGCCTGCGAACTAGACAATCGCGGTTCGATTCCCAGTCAGGACACATACTGAGGTTGCAGGCTGGTTCCCTGCAGGCCAGTTCCCAGCAGGGGACACATGAAAGGCAACCATACACTGATGTTTCTCTCCCTCTCTCCTTCCCTTCCCCTCTAAAGATAAATAAATAAAATCTTTAAAAAAACAAGACAAAATATTAACTTCCATAGGGCATGAGCACAATCTCCTAAGTTATGATTGTTACTAATAAATGGAGTGATTTTGTTAGTATTGAATGCTTCTGCACAAAACCTCTGCCAGTCAATGCCTAATCTATCTAAAGAATAAAACCTGTCTTTCCTTTGAAATTTTTAAGAAATCCTTCTCAAGGTTAAAGGCTAAGGCTTGTCCTATTGGTTTCCCTTCAAAAATATGTTTTCTAAATCACACTATGCGTGTTATCATAACAAATAGAAACATAAGAAAAGCACTGGGTACCCTTTTTCCTTTAGATAAGTGCTGCGCTACTGGAACATATGACATCATATTTGGCTCCAGCATTTGGAAATGAAACAGTATAAAAGATGACAAGTTCTAGTAGCCACGTCATAACAGGGGATGAAATTTAAAACAAGACTGACAACATAAAATTTGAGGAAACTGACTATTTTTTAAATTGTACATTTATTGTGACAGTTTTGGGGTTAATCTCTGGAGCCGGCACAGGGATGAATGAGGTAATGGTCGCACATGTTGTGGATAAGATAACCGAAGCCGGGAAAAGCCCATTTCCAGGCTAACGTGCAACTAAGATTATGTGCCTGGTGGCTGGAAACCGTTGTGTGGTTAGGATAATACAGGGTTTAAAAATGATGCTGATGGAGCAGTGAGCAGTCACATTTGATCTGAAGCTTTCCAAATGGGGGCATGAAGAGGAGTAGGTGGGGGCCTGCCAGGGGAAAGATTTGGGGACCAGGAAGATGGGAGGTGAACTACAAAACTCCCTCCCCGAAATGACATTAGAAGGGTGGGTAATTAAAACTTCACTGCAAAGTGAAATCTGAGGATAAGACTAGCTTAATGCTGCTCATTGTGTACACTGGGGCGCGAGAGGAGATTGTGACTCGGACCTCCATTCCCCGTGACCCAGATGTTATTGCCATCAGACAAATGTTCAGAGTTCCTGCTTGGACCACTTTCTTTTATTCTGTGGCTTTGAGGAAGGGGAAAGCAAGCACTGTGAGAAACGTGTTGACTGAAATGCACCATTAATTTCATGTCTCTTTTCTAAAAAGCACTTTTAAAGTGTGCCAAGATGTTTTTAGTGTTTCAACAACATGCTTTTGTGACAATAGAGAAATGAGGGTATGTTTTCATGGTATCAATAAAAATACCATGGTAATTTACAAGGTTGGACTGAACTCTAAACTGGGTTACAATGAAGCTCTTTCAGTGTGAACAGAGATAGAACCAATCTTTATTGTGTTCCTGAGCCACTGAGATCAGAACAAACATGATGTCTGACCGCCTCTATGATCTGAAATCTTGGCTGCCAGGGGGCTTGGATTTTACGAAGGGCCCCCATTTCTGGAACTCTCTTTCCTACCCAGCATATCCCAGATTTACAAACTTCGAGGTCTTAGAAGGACAGGAAAAAAAAAGGGGCATATTTGTTTTTTTCTTAACTGGTGTAGGTTTCCAGATGGTATTAGAAGCTATTATTGGCTGAGAAGAAACCCTTGTTTGCATCCCAGTCTTGTACATGAGTCTGCAAATTTGGCAAATGGCTTCCTTTAAATATGTGAGGAAATAAACAGAGCATTTTCAGTATTTGCTGACACTCATTATTCTTTCCTTCTCAAACTTTGCCAGATGCAGACACCAAGGGCCAATTTTTCTAGTTTTCTGTTCAGAATCCCTTCAGGGAAGTACACTTATGAGATTTCCATATCTGATTCTTTGTACTAATGAGTCTGTGCTCATATGATTCCATGGTCACTTACTGATGAGCAACAAGACAGGGTCTTGTTGATCTAATCCCCTTGACATCCTGCCAGTGGGCACTTTCACATCGACATTAAGTTGCTACTCTTCCATGCACAGAAGTAGGCACACTGGTGTGCAAAGATGTTGGAGACCAAGTTTCTGACCTGAAAGTATCCACAGTGTTATCGAGACATTGATAAGTACACATACCACTTTTTAGGTCTGTTGCTCTAAGAAATAATGAAGGAGGCAATGAGGCTTGATGGAGAGACCAAACATGAGCTTTGAAATGCAGATGGACATGGGTTCAAAATCTGGGTCAGCTACTTCCTTACCCAGAGCATACCACTTTAACCTCCCAGAGCCTTAGTTTTCTTGCCTGACAAATAGAAAAACTGGCATTACTTCCTAGGGATGTTGTGAATGAGAAATCGGATAGTCCCTGAAAACAACCCACCATTGTGCTTGATTTATAAAGGATGCTCAGCAAACACTGGTTCCTTCCTTCAAACGAGCAATAAAGGACCCACAGCTGAGAAAATTAGGAAATGCTCTGCCTTTGAGAAGGGTGTTGAAGGATACAGAGACTTTCACACTCATGATTTGGAGAGCACTGCACCAGGAGACAGAACAGCAAAGAAAGGCAACATATTTGGGGAATAACATGCCCTTCGATTTGACTAATGAGAGAGCTCTGTGTAGAGATGGGCTACAGATATAGCCACGGAGGGCCTCCACATGCAGTGGGAGGAATTATAAAGCTCTGAGAGCACAAAGTGTCAGTGACATAAGCAGGGTGGCACTGTATCATTGGAGTTGTCCCAAAGGGACATTAATCTGGCAGCAACATGTGCATCGGTTTCCAGTGGGGAGAGGCAGAGGCCAGGAGAATGGTTCGGACCACTGCAGAGCCCTTTAGAAGAGAATGAAGGTTTCGAGCGTGGGGGTGGGGCAAAGGGCGTGTGGAGTGCGGTGAGCCCACAGGCCTGGAAAGGCTCCTTCGACTTCTGCCTAGATAACATGCCATCCGCCGCTTGTCCCTCTGTGTTCATCACACCAGACAGAGTGTTACTTCTCTATGGGCTCAGCTCCCCTGCTCTTTGGGAGCTTGCTGGGAACTGTATTTTGTATTTTCCTCATTTGGACATTTCTAGACTCTATCACAGAGTCTGAGAGTACAGTCAGCCCTTGAAAAGAGTTTGTTTAGTGCAGGAGTAAATGTTGAATACATGAGAAAGACAGACAAGAATGGAATAGCAAGAGGAAAATAAAAAGAAACAAAAGGATAGAAGTACAAAATGAGCGGAAGGAAGTAAAGAGAAAGATAAAAGGTTGTTTTGGAACAGTGTGAGTTCATTCACAACCAGGGATGTGAAACTGTAGCCATTAAAATTAGATTAACACTTCCTTCTTTTTTCTCTTTACCCTAAAGCCTTCACCCTTTGCACTATTCTTAATAAATAATACTTGATGAAGATGGTGATGATGTGTCCTCTTCATGTTAATCCAGGCAGTTCTCAGTTTGTGAATGGGTTAGGTTCCAAATGTCTGTTGTAAGTCGGTTTGTTTGGCTATTGGAATGTATTTTTCCTTAGAGACAATGTAACAGTCAGTGGTTAAATTCTCCAACTACTTCACAAAAGGCTATTTAATCCACAAAGTGTTGGAATGATAGCGCTAATGTACTGTGGAGTAGGAATTCCTTATAGGCATATTATATACTTCTTGGTGATTTGCAAAGTGCATTTGCATTGCGTACATTTACAAAACGGAACGCCTCTGCATAATTTTTTTCCATGGAAAACCATGTTCCAAGTTTTAAATGAGGAGGCCAGTAACACATCCTCCACCCACTCTGCTCTCTGTGAAATGACTTGGCTTCCACACAGAGGCTCCCACGCTGCCCTTCCCAGCCAGCGGCACTGGCCCCAAGGGAGCCCCCGAGACAGGGAAGTGGAATGGGTGTGTGTCAGTGCAGTAGGGCTCCCGGGAAGGGCACTGCCGGGGGTTTGTAGTCCGAAGAGTCAGTCTGCATGTAGATTCTGCCACCACCAGCTGGTAACCTTGTGTGTGTTCAGAGTCCACTTATGCAGAGTGGAGACAACAGCACCTACTTCGTGGGTGTTTGTGATGTTTAAGATGAGATAAAGGAACACACAGCAGAGTATTCTGATACATGGCATATGCTCAGAAATGTTCTTATGCTCTTCCCCGCCCACCTACCACCACTAAACTGTGAAATGGGATGGGTAATGAGAAGCTCTTGCAGCCATCAGCTCAGCTCATGGGGCAGGTCATGGGCTTAAGAACTGGGGAGAGGCGGCGCTGGGGGTGCTTCCCTGGTGGGTGAGTTCCCAGCTGGGGGACAGTGAGGGCTCCCAAGTGCTGATTCTCCCAGACACCAGTGGCAGCTGTGGCAAAAGTTTCTGCATTGACACTGTGGAGTTCTGTGAGCAGGGGAGCCAGGGCCAGGTTGTGCATTATCACCGTGACTGATGCAGCCCAAATCTCAGGCGTGAGACACAGAGAAGGTCAGTGCTCACTCACCCTCACCCGCAACCCTGCGGGCAGCTTTCCCCTAGGTGATGTTTTCCTCTGATGCAGGTTCTTTTCATCCTATGGTTCTGTCCATCTTCTCATACTGAGCTGGTGACAGAGGGGAGAAAAAGTGCCATTACAGGGTAGGCCTGTAAAAAATTCCAGTGCACAGCCTCCAACACAGCATTCATGTATCACACTGGCTGCCAGAGACCGGGAAGTGCAGACTTGTCCATAGCCCAGGAAGGAAAGAAAACAGCTTCGGCGGTCAGCTGGCAGTCTCTGCCACAGGGCCGAGTAAGAGTGCTAAGCAGCTCCTGGTTGGTGCAAACTGTTTTCCAGTGAGTAGTAAGTAAAAGAACACCGACTGCAATTCAAGATACCTAAGTCAAGATGAATGAAAAGCAGAGAATTCACAATAAGAGGCTGGCCTACGTACTTTGTGGGTAAACTTTGACATGTATGTTAGTTTTCCTTCTCTGGAAGAAATGAAAGACACGAAACAGATGAATATTAAATAGCTTTCCATGTAGATTCAAGCATAAAGATAATGACTCTTTTAAGTTTCTACACCAAGAACATGTTTAAAATAATGCCAAATTTAATAATACAAGTTAACTTCAGCAATTTAAAATAAGGGCACTGTCTGAAGACACAAATAGTCACTTTTCATGTTGTTCTTTTCTCTCTTTGAATTATGTAACGTGCTGACTCAGTGTCTGGATATTCAAGTCACACCCAGAGCTGTGGTTGATTAGGACACTTATCTCCCTTCAGACCTCTGACTGCTCTTAGGAAAGGTCTTATAAAGAGCATGGATTTTGGAGTCTAAACACTTCAGCGGGTCGGAGGGTTTTCAGGTGTTAGACTTACAAAACTCTCTCAGAGGAGCGATCTCCCCACAAGAAGCTCGCAGTCTTGTGACAAAGACAGCGGTATGAACAAGCCATAGCAGCACAGAGGGACGGGGCAGCCCAGAGTGTGTCCCTGGGATGATGGCATCGCAGCAGAACAAGTGCTGGGAGTGAGGGTGAGAGGAAGAGGGGAGAGGGAGGGGTTGGTTTGGAACGGAGACCCCTCCGAGTCGGCAGGGGCAGCCAGGACACAAAGGCTGCTGTGAATCGTGCCCAAGGGCTCGGCTGTTATCCTATCCCTGAGTAGGGGCTAATTTCGCCCTAGTGCACAAGCCATGGTGAGCTCAGAGAAATGTATCTATTGATTCAAGAATCGTGCCAATTTATTTGTAAAAATAGCTTTCTAGAACACCTCAGTGTGGTCTTACTCTATTAAATTATATTAGCACAGGTGTGTGCGTGTGTGAGGGCACACACACATTCTTCAGATTATAGGCGTGGAAGGCCTCCGTATGTCAGAGGCAGTGAGGGTTGCGGATTGTGTTCCCTGTGTCCCCTGGGCCTGGGCTTAAAAAATTAAATTTTTTAGAATAAAAGTTGCTCAAAACCAACTTAAAATGTAATATAAATGCATCCCGTTGAAAGTTTGGGTACATTGCACTTTCTGTTGATTTAACTACTGGTTTAGAAGCCAAAGAACTAAAGAGGAGTCATTTTGCTTTTATTCCAAAAGAAGAGGAAATAGTACCAGAGGGAGGGAAAATAAAGACCTGTACATGATAACCTAAGACACTACAGTCACCCTATAATGTAGGATTGCTTGCCTCAGAGCATTTCTGTTTGTGAAGCTTCTTGGTATTACAGAGATTCTTACCCTTGTCTTCTCATGAGAATCAGCTGGGAGCTTTAAAAATTCGATGGTCACATCACAGACCAATTAAATCAGAATCTCAGCAAGTGGTACTCAGGCACCAGCAGATTTTAAGACTCCCCAAATGATTTCAATTCCCAGCCCAGTGCGAGAAGCAATGGCCTGTTAGGTAGGATTACCTGTTCTTTTGGAAACAGCAAATTTCAATTAATCAACTCATTTAAATCACGTGCCAGACACTCTTCTGGGTACTGGGGGCTACGGCACAGGCCTGCCTCCAAGTGTGTCCCAGCCGAGGACAGAGACTGAACCTGGAGGGGCCGAGGGAGAGGAGAGGGTGAGCAGTGATAGGCTGTGACCGGAACAGTGGTCTGAAGGTGCATCGCCGAACATCGTGGTAAATATTTGCTGATAGTCGTGTTTTGTAGCTAGCTGAAAACTGGAATTAAGTAAATCTAGAGGAACACCCTAGAGGAAAATTTTATATTAGACGGGGATTAGAAGCCAAAGAAACTGGCTTTCATTCTCGTGTGTAATAGAATATTATGTTTATCTATCTAGTCCAGACTCGGCTGAGGATTTAAAAACAAAACCGCTAAGGAGTCTTTTTAATAAAATTGCTTAAAAACAACAATACATTTTTAAATAAAATTTACACAATGTAATTTGTTTAAAATATACTGTAAAAAATGGACACTGACTTGAAAAGACAATCATTTTTCTCTTAAATATTTAGAACTAAAGAGCTCTTACCAGCAGCAGGACGTGATTTTATTTTATAAGCCGATGACCACGTTCTGTAAGATGGTGAAGATGTTAAGGTACCGTTGGCCAACAGCTGATGGATGACCGACTCATAAACCACACCGACTCTTATTTCTTTACATTTCCCCCACAGGCAGGACTACTCTAGACCTTTATGGAACTTGGGTCTGGACTTGTGCTTTCTTTTCTCTGTATTAGGTGAGTAGATGTCATGGAAAAAGTGTGGGGGTTGAGCTCCGGTTCTCTGGGGCACTGTTTCCTTGAGCGTAAAATGGTGATGGTAAATGTTTGATTGAACAGTTAGAGTATTAACTCTAAAAAATGTCCAAGAACCACATGCAGATTTTAATACTCATGAAGTTAATACTAATAAACATACGAGTGGGGACATGTGTCACTCTTCGATCTGAAAAGTACACTTAGAATATCTATTGGATACTGTCTGTTGGTCCTCCCTAACGAATTTTGCTCAATACCTTCTCCAAGGTCTGCAAGAAGCCGTGGTAATGTCCCGTGTAAGTGAAATGACAGATTCATACAGAGTTCCTATAGTGTTAATGGGGGGGAGGAGAAAAATTTCTAGGTATTAGTGACCAAAAGCTAAATCAGAAAATAATGTAACAGTAATTTAACAAAAATTTATCATCTTTAATAACATAAAGCACGATTCATGTCATAGCTAATAAAACATAGTTGGATTCTCAAGTATTGCCATGACTGATTTAAGATTAAAAGATCAGTTTTATAATTCATTGTTTTAACTAATGAAATCCACTTATCTTAATGATGCATACCTTAGTTAATAGTTTAAGGGAATTATTTCTAGGTGCCGGGAATAATAGGTAAGCATAATTTGTGTGTGTGAATTCTCTGTGATTTGGTTCACAGAAGACCTTTCAACTCAATGCTGGTGTTTCAAATTAAAATATCAAGTCGGTTTATACATCTGGCCTTACTTGGTGGTTTTCTAAGTTGCTCATGCTATAGCGTAAGTGTACTTATATTAATCATAGTTCAAAGTAGCCACATCATTAAGTAATAATTTTTGAAAATATATGTTCTTAGAAATGATACCTACACCCGATTCAGTTTTTGTTGTCAAGCCATGGGCAGGGGAGAGGCGTGGAGGGGGGAAGAAAAGAACGCCAAATCCACCCCTCGGGCCATCGGCTAACCCCCAGAGATGTTTCATACAGTCTCCGTTCTGTTGCCAAGTGAGGATGGAGATGCATGTGGCCACACTGTCATACGCTCCTGCCAGCTGCAAACCTCATCACAGTTCCTGTGAAGTACATTTCCACAGATCAGGTTTCTGCCAGGGAAGATTTTAACAATCTCCCACTCCGCTTTCAACCAACAACAATTAGTATTAGCAAATGGTTCAGGCCACTGCCTGGCATTACACATGATTTCTCTTCAAAAAAGGCAAACTTTTACTCAAACCAGATCCACATGCTGAACATTTGAGCTCTCCTCTTAGATATAATGAGGTTGAGACAGTTTCTATCTTTCATTTAAATAAAAAATCACTCTCACGTTTGAAATCGAGTTGGCTGTCTTCCCTTGCTGGGTTCACCATCTGGTAAGAGGGACTTTAGGGGACTCATGCTCAGGCCAGGAGTTTAGGAAAAAAAAATCATTATCCTTTTGTCCTTTTGTGCCTTGCTCTTTTAATGTGGTCAGACTTTGTTTTAATGTTTTCACAGCAGGTTTTTTTTCTCTTTCAGATAACACATATGGCAAATAAGTTAAATTCGTAATATATTTTGCAGCCAAAATTTGCTTGTTTTGAGTTATGAAGAAAAAATCATATACCTGATTGAAGTCACTACAGCTCATTGTGAAACAATAAAAATTCAGGGGGTCAGCCTGTTGATCTCCTACATACCTGGGGTTCTTTTAATGCTGCTATGTTACTTTTTAGGGTAAATTATTTCTCAGGGTAAGATAAAGTCAGTTGCCTACCAACATGTTTCAAAGGTTTATGATTGCACCAAATAGACTACACATTAGCATGTCCAGGGATTTTACTATTTTTTTACCAGTTAAGTTCTTTAAAAAGATAGGTTTTGATGCATACTATCTATTCATTCTCTCTCATGGTTGTTTTTGTTATGGATAAAGACTGATTTTATATTCAGCAGTTAAGAGACCTGTTCATAAGAACCACCTCATAGTAATAATCCTTTCGACTATATTCCCTTCAACTTCAGAAAAGCATAGATAGTTGAAAGTTATAAGTTTCATGAAATTGAAGGTAGCTATAGAGAGCACTCCTGTTTTACAGATAAGGAAATTAAGTTTCAGAGAATTAAAGTGATTTTTTTAAAGCTCATCAAACTCATATAGAACAAAGAGATGCCTAGAACCTAAATACACTTTCTGACTTTTGTAACTTTTTACTCACTTTCCCTTAACTGTAATTAAGTCAGTTACAAAAAGTTACTGACTTTTTGTAACTTTACTTCAAGATGAAGTAAACTATGTGTATAGTGGTAACAATTTTGAGGGAGGAATGAATTTTCATGAAATTCTCATTATGAAACTGCATGGATCTCAACTAGGGATATAAGTTTTGGGGATAAAATATAACATTCCAAAAAATAAGCCCCACCCATCCAAGTACTCTTCCAGCTAGCATCGGTGAATTTTGAGCTTGCTTGAGAAAGTCCAAGTCTTTGAAAAACAATTAATGCCTTTGAATTCTTGAAACTGTGTTAATGGCTCCATACTTAGCCAAGCAAATTCATTTCCATGGGCTTCATTTTTTCTGATGTTACTTTAGGAAAAGCTGACCTTTTGTAAGTCATCAAACAAGTAAATCTGTATATAAAACATTCATATTTATGCATAGTACCCTAGAGTCACAAGAAATATTTGTCCTTTGCTATTTCACTATTTCTAAAGAAAATACCCTAATGAATTTAAACACTTAAAGATTAGATTTAAAATCAACCATTTTGATATTAATTTCCTCAAAGGAAAGGAAAAATGAGAGATGGGAGGTGATTTTGGTGGTAAGCAGAGCCTGTGTGATGCCTTTGTACCTGTCAGTCTTCTGGGCTGCACTGTTTCTCAGAATCCTCTTTCTTGCATGGCATGGACCTCAGAGGAGGCTCTTGGACTATTTGGAAGAGGAAGGGCAGCAGCAGCAGCAATTTTGTAGTGCACACACATGATGCTGACCTCCTGACTCACCTTGACGGAAAGCAGCAGCTCGGCCTGCAACTGCTCCACCTCCCTCTGGGTCCTTCTTCGGCTTCTCTGACTCCTGGGGGTGTAGTCAGCCTTGTGACTAAGGGGTCTTGTGTCTGGATGATATTGCCATTTGTTTTCATTGCTGCTGTAACAAACTATCACAAAAAATAGTAGTTTAAATAACTTCTTATTTTATAGTTCTGTAGGTTAGATGTCTGACATGCATCTATCTCACTGGAATAAAAGTCTTATTTAATCCTGTATTTGTTCTAATGTGGGGAAAAGAAATTTGCATTAGCAAATCCCATGACAGCAGGGCTATTTTGGTCAAAGCTAGAGAAAGGTAAATAGTGGGAACATTATGTAAGCATTTTGTTATGATTTTCTTCTTTAAAATCCAGGCTGTGATATGAAAACATAAAAGGGGTATTGTGAGATTAAACACCTTGACTATAAAATAATTTATATTAATCAGAGGTAAATTATATGCTCCTTTAATGCTTAAATAAATAGATAATCATGGGAAATGAATTTGAACAAATTGAGGTCTTGGAGGAATTACTGACTCTTTTTTATTAAGCAATAAAATTCTTCGAGACAGGTAGAATTTAAGGTTCTTTCATAGTAAGTTAAGGAGAAAATTGTTTTGGGCAGGAAGCTCTTTTTCTCTAATATATTGCAAATCCACTAGAAACATTTAGGTTTATTCCATGTAAGTGGAATGTTGTCATAATATTGCATGTGCAATCAAATCACATAGGTGGCCCTGAAAATACAGTAATATAGGGAAAGTCACCAGAGTCTCATATGCAATTGGCATAGACAGCATTTTCTCATGTGAATCTCGCAGAGAAACAGTGATACTCACTCAGACTGCCTGGAAATTTGATGGTCCATAAAAACTTTGAAATTAGGTGGATACCCGCCCCTTTACACATTAGAAAGAACATGTCCAATTTACTTCTCATCTAACTTCATTCAAAACTTCTACATTTGTTAATCATCTGGTGCGCTGATGCGGTTCCCAAAGAACATTGCTTCTCTCCAAGAGCACACACTTAATGACCCACATTCTGACCCGTGACCATTTGCACACTTGTTCCCCTTTGTGAATCAGGACTAGAGTGTAAGCTGAATCTACTACACACCCACACAATGGCACATTCTTGGAGTGTGGCTGTCTAGACTATTTCCTTCACACAGTGGCTCAAGGTCCTTTTTGGAGCAATTACTGAAATGTTAAATTGTGGCCAGTGGCTTCTTTAACAGGTTCCTTACCCAGTTGCGACAGTGAAGTTTTAAGTGGTCTTTCACAGATTGGTATTGTCATTAATGTGTCCATTCACATTAGCTGAAAAGTGAGATTTCTGGGGGCCAAAGCTCTTTACCTCTCATGTGTTCTCTCTCTAGAAATGAAGAGGATTTATTTAACCTCTACTCTTTTTTTTCTTTTTGCCTTTTTTTTTTTTTTGGTTAGTTTTCTGTACTGGGATATATGTTTTGGTGAGAAAATATAGCATTCCAAAAAAATAAGCTCCATACATCCAAATACTCTCTAGCTAGCATCTGTGAATTTTGAGCTAATTTGAGAAAGTCCAAGAATTGGAAAGAACAATTAACGCCTTTGAATTCTCAAAACTGTGTTAATGGCTCCATACTTATTAGCCAAGCAAATTCATTTCCATGGGCTTCATTTTTTTTTCTACCTCAAAAAAGGGTGCCCAATTAGTAACAATAGCAAATGTGTTAAAAGTAAGAATAGGTATAGGGAAATTAGAACTGAGCAGGGGGAAAATAAACTATGCATATGTTCAGTATTGTGTGAGATGTAAGGTAATACATATTTCTTGGAGCTCGAAATTAGAACTCACTTTATGTTTTGCTTAGGAAAGCTTACTCCTTGTAATATTAACATTTCCTCTATTTCTTTTATGATTTCTTTTGCTGTGTTTGCTAAATGGCTGCAGTATATTCTGCGTATGTCTTAAGATAGGCATGATGTCCGATTGTCTTACCATCAGTCATTAAATCTTCTTCCAATTAGTTTACAAGATACCTTTATCAAATTCTAAATCCCTCAAACACCTGTATCTCTTTCTGGTGCATTAACTTTGCTAGTGTCATAATGTTTTGGTTACTGTAGCTTTCTATTGTGTTCTGTTTTGACATATCAAATAAATATATTTTGTCTATTATTTTTAGAGCTAAGACTTAGAATCACCTTGTCACAATTATTAAAGAATCCCATTTAGGTTCTGGTTAAGATTATGCTGAATTTGTTCATGTACCTGATACACAATGGAATTCTATGCAGCAGGGAGAAAGAAGGAGCTACTACCCTTTGCAACAGCATGGATGGAACTGGAAAGCATTATGCTGAGTGAAATAGGCCAGGCATTGAAAGACAAATACCATATGATCTCACCTTTAACAGGAAGCTAAACAACAAAATGAACAAGCAAGCAGAATAAAAACAAAGACACTGAAATAGAGAACAAGGGGACAGCGACCAGAGGGGGAGAGGGAAGGGAATTTAAGGGGGAAAAAGGGGAGGGATTTGGAGGAACAAGTATGAAAGACACAGGGATGAGGACTAGGGGGGAGGAAATGGGAGGGAGGTGGGGAGATGGGGCGGGGGGGGGGGCTGGGATGGGAGAAACAGACAAAAAAACTGTACTTGAAAAATAACTAAATTAAAAAAATAAAAAAATAAATATATCACCCAAAAAATATTGAGCAATGCTTTTAAAATTCTCACTATAAATTAGAGTGAATTGCTCATTCGAGACATTACTATCATTAAAAAATGCAAAGATAGTATCTTCTATCTTGTAGAAGAGATAATTCATAGAATAAAATGCATACCTACCTTAATAAATAATTTGATCAAATAAAAAAAATTTGTACATGTACCTGGGACAATTGGTGATTTCATACTCCTGAATCTCCCCATGCAAGAACATGGTCTACTTAGGTGTTCCTTTGTGTCCTTCTGTTCTTGCTCAGTTGCTACACAACCTGATTTGATTACATTTAGAGAAGAAACGTAACAGAACACCTCCATGATGCTTGATTTTAGCTGAACCACAAGTTCCTTTTATGACTATTGATCTAGAAGAGGTCAAATTATTAAATGTATTAGTTGTAAAAGCAAAAAGATCATTGCTTTGGCCACTTGCATGTGTAATATCAGTCCTCTTATATCACAGAATACCCCTCAATAAGTACATGTTATTAGATAGAAAGTATTGAACATTATTATTTCCAGGCCTGTCAGCTTCCATCTCCAGTTCCACAACACCTCTCCTTGTGACCAGTAGGGGGTGCTCCTGCAGCAACCTGCCTTCTTTCAAAGCCATTGAATCCTAACACATTTCAAACCTTAGGAAGTATTGGTTTATAAATTATCAGCTGCGGTTCTCACACATTCTAACAGACTCACATCTGTGGGCATTTTATGTAGAAGACAAGTAATGGGAGAAGGTGAGATCTTCAAAGTGTCTTGTAATCGAAGAAGGCCTGTATTATATAAGCACAGAAGGCAGAAAGGGATTATAAGAACTTGTGTTTGGGTGAAAGAGGGGAGCCTCTGCTTTTAAGGGCTGTTTTTTTGAGCTTTGGTGCCAGCAGACTGCTTTGTGAGCTGTGAGTTTCCTGATCTTAGTCTTTTAAAGGCAACATTTTTAAAGTGTTGCTTTAAATAGGGGAGACTAGCTCCGGAGAGCAATGAGTTGGAGGCTGTGGAGGAAATGGGTCTGGCTACGAATAATCCAGTGGGAAAAAAAATTTGATCCTATCTACTGGCTTTGGAACAGTTCCCCTCATTGCTGGTGGCGGTGATGGTCAGAGAGGTGTGTCACCCTCCACCTTCCCTACCAGCTCAGTCCTTCTTCCTTATGCTCCCAAACCATACGATTTTCATTTCTATACTGCAAATGTCACACACTGTGATATTCACCTGTGTATTTGTTTATATCCCCCTTTAGGATAAGCAACATGAGGGCAGGATCCCACTGTATTTGCCCAGCATAGAGTTTGGTGGACCGTAAGCAGCTGATAACTATTTGTTTAAGGGATGACAGAAGGAAAGGAGGGCAGGTCAGAAAGAAGGAGGAACAAAGCAAAAAGGGTGTCAGAGGGTGGTTAGGTTGATATTATAGGGCAAGTGAATTTTTAAACTGATCCAGAATCAGGAAATAACAGTAACAAAATTCACACAAAGTAGTATTGGGTATAACCTAACACGAATGTTCACAGAAAGCAATTTGTTTCTAATGAGGTTAGTAACATTTATAATAGCAAGTACATAATGTAACCATAATCACCTGATTGTGAAACAAGCCATTTGTTATTTATGTAGAGTTCAGAGTTTAATTGCATAATGTAAAAGTGTCCTTTAAAAGTAGTGAGGTTCTCCTCACTCACTGCTGGTGGGGATGTAGACTGGTACAGCCACTATGGAAAAGAGCACGGCAGTTCCTCAAAAAGTGAAGAAGAGAATTATCATATGACCAAGCAACTCCTCCTTTGGGTGTCTACACTCAGGAAAATGTGAAAACATTTATTTGTAAAGATTTATGCATTCTTATGTTCATTGCAGCGTTATTTGCAATGGCCTTGACATGGAAAGAACTGAAATGTCCTTGGCTAGATGATTGGGTAAAGAAGAGGCACTACATATATACAATGGAGTACTACTCAGCCGTAAGAAATGATGAAATACTGCCATTTGCTCAACATGGGTGGACCTTGAGAATATCATATTAAGCAGACCAAATCAGAGAGAGAAAGTTAAGAACCATATGATTTCATTCATATGTGATGTATAAAACAGAAAACAATGAATAAACAAAAATAAACAAAAACTCATAGACACAGACAACAGTATGCTGGTTAGTAGTGGGAATGGGAGTAGGGCGATAGGAAGGAGTCAAAAGATTAAATATATATTGACAGAAGAAGATTTGATTTTCGGTGGTGGACACACAATGCAATATACAGATGATGTATCATAGAATTGTGCACTTAAAACCTATATAATTTTGTTAACCAATGTCACTCCAATACATTTAACTTAAAAAAGTAGGGAGGTTCTGGAAGTGTTCCATGTAGAATTTTGTTAAAATCATATACAATATTGAAATTCAAGTATTGG